CCGGCCCGGCCACGTGTGGACGCCCGGCCCCAGCACGTGTTGGCCCCGCGCGCTGGGGGCGGGCTTTGCACACCCGGGGCAGGCGGGCAGCCCACACGTGTCGGCACGGCACGGGCAAGGTTCACACACGCCTTAGCCCAGCGCGGGGCAGGGTTCGGACACGTGTTAGCCCAGCGCAGGGCAGGGTTTGAACACGCTGGCAGGGGGCAGGGTGCAAACACATGTTGGCCCAGCACAGGGCAGGGTCCAAACAAGTTTGGATGCACATCTTGCTGGCATCATTGACTTCCTGCCTCTGGCAGGGGACTGGGCCCAGTGATCTCATGCGGTCCCTTCTCAGCCCAAATGTCTATGAAATCTAAGTGTTAGCCCAGCACAGAGCAGGGGTCGAACATGTGTTGGCCCAGCATAGGAGGGGTTCGAACAGGTGTTAGCCCAGCGTGGGCAGGGTTTGAACACGTGTGGGCCCAGTGCAGGTGGGTTTTGAACATGCGTTAGCTCGGTGCAGGCAGGGTTTGAACACCCAGCACAGGCAGGGTTCAAACACATGTTGGCCCAGCACTGGCAGGGTTTGAACACATCTTAGCCCAACACAGGGCAGGGTTCAAGCACGTCTTAGCCGAGTGTGGGCGGGGTTTGAACACGTGTTAGCCCAGCATGGGCAGGGCAGCAGTGTGTGTCCTGCACGGTGTCAGCCCCAGCCCCTCTCTGGGGCTGTTCCCTGCCTGGTGCCAGACACCCCCCCCACCCCTTGTCTGGGCCTGCTCCCTGCAGACAGAGCCCGGGCTGGGGGAGAGGGGACGTCCGCAGAGCTGCACCTGCCTGTGCGCAGAGGCTCGCACCATGCTCCAGTCCAGGGGCACTGGCAGAGGGAACCAGGGCGGGTGCCATTTCCAGCCCCCGCTTAAAAGCTTTCATTGGGCAACGAGGCACTGACACTAGTGAGGAGCTCCAGCCTGAACCAGGCGTATCCCCCGAAACCTTCAGCCTGGGGGCAGAAACCTTGCATGGAAAATTTCCACAGGGATGTTAAAGCTCTGCCCAGGTTGTGGGCAGAGCCCTGCCGTAGACAGGACTTGCCCCTCCCGCCCTCCCGTGGGAATGGTTGTCAACGAGCTCACCTAATAATGCGTAAATAGATGTTCGTTCTAGGAGCACGGGGCTGCGAGGGCATGCAGGAGGAATCCCCCAATTCCCCCAGCAAATCTTCCCATGCAACGACACTAGGGGTGGGCAAAATGTGGCCCGTGGGCCAAATGCGGCCTGCCAGGCCCATCTATCCTGCCAATGGAGCCCCTAAAAAATTTAGAAAATTCATATTTATCTGCCCCTGGCTGCCTGTCACGCGGCCCTCGATGGCGTGCCAAAACTCAGTAAGCGGCCCTCTGCCCGAAATAATTGCCCGCCCCTGAACTACACAGAGCAAATGCAAAACACCCCAAACCCCCTATAACTGTGCCATGCATTACAGCCTGCCGCGCTGTCATTATAGCAATAACACAAGCCTGCCGGATGCCTGAGACACTGCATTATATTTAATTACTATTAAACCAAGCTGCTTCTTTGAAACTAGAAGTGATCTGCCGGTGAGAGCGCTGGGCCTACGCCCTGCTCTTGATCCGTGCGGGAGAGTCTCCATTGAAGGCAGTATGAGCTCTCCCTGAAGGCCTGTGGGAGGGTGCACAGAGAACACCTGGCCCAGTTTCCATCTGTATTTTTCTGGCAGCACACCGTGCTGAATGAAGGTTGCAGCCAGCATGGAGCCCAGCGGGTTTGAGGTCCTTCTTGCAAAGAGGCTGAATACAGTGTCTTCTGCGGGGCCTAAGCACCCCTATTGCCTTGCTCAACGGAGAACGCTGTTCGGTGCAATGACTTGGTGCATAGCATCCTCTGTCTGTTGATGCCTGGGCCCCAGTGAATACGAGAGCCTTCTGCTTGCCGATGGAGTGCAGGCCAAATGGTTAGCAGGTGCCATCCGCAGAACAGCACTGAAATCAAAGCAACCAGAGGAGGAAGATGCTTTACACCCCAATGGCAGCAGTCTGTGCTTTGAGCACCGAAAACCCTGCTTCCGTTCCCCCCTGATGCAACCAAGGTGTGCGATTACAACAGGTACCCGTGCATCACCTGAAAAGGCCGTGTCTGCCTTCACAAGTGGGTGGGTGTTATCGAATGACCTGTGCTAAATACCAAGGAGGTGGGAGGTTGCAGCAAAAAGCACCATGCCTATTTTGCAAAAGTCTCCCAAGCTCCGCGCCAACAAGACCCCCACTGCGACAAAAGAGAGCAAACGGACGAGTCGGTCTCTGTCTTGCTTTTTTTGTTTTCCCAAACAGAAATTCAAGTGGAGATCAAACAGGAACCGAACACAACTCCTATTGGAAGGTAAAAAATGTTTTACAGCCTACAGTAGATTAACTAAATATGTTTTCACATCTGATTCCTTTTCTTGATTTATGGAACTCTAATTATTGTTTTAAATCACTTACATCATGCAAGGGGATTTGCAAAAAAGGCTGCATTTTTACCGCTGAGTTTTTAATCAAAGGGAGGGGGAAATGTGCTGTAAATAAACAATAATGATTGTGATGATCACCAAATGCCAGGCAATTAACAATCAACACTCAAAACAGGCGATGCTAATTGCACTGCACCGGCTCCTAATGTAAAAATATAAATACATTATATCCACATCGACAGCATGGGGAAAACAATTCAAAGGTTTATGCTCTCCCCCTAGAGCTTTGCAAAACAAGTTAAAAAGAAGCAATTTACAAGTTGGATCTCTTAAAAAAAAAAAAAAAATACAGACTCGAACTGGCTCGTACTTAAAATACCATTTTGCCGCAGAGAGAACTAAAAATGTTTACTGGTTTCTAATGGAAAATTCAATGCTGTTTTACTACGAGATGTGTATTTTATTATTATTTCTGTTCAGGGCAATCCAAGCAAGCATGGAGATTTTATGGGACGTAGAACAAACAGCTTGAAACAGGGAGGACCCCCCCTCCCGCTTAATTATAGCAGGATCTGCACTTCCCTGTAATTATAGGCGCATCTAGCACTGAGCACCAGGCTAGATCAGGCCCTAGAGCTGTGCGGTGGGGTGGTAGGCCTGTCAAGTCTTGCCAAGGCAGAAAAGGTCGCTGGTTTAAGGTGCCTTGTGCTAGCGCTTGTTATACCTCCGTGGGAACTCCGCACCTGTTGAGGGAGGCTGCTTCATCCACACTGAGACCGGAAGAGCAGGCTCACAACAGGCGTGCACACCCACACCTGCCCTTCTCTACGGCTTTGCAAGCCAGTTCAACCAGCATGGATGCACAGCAGCCAGCCAGAGATTTCTTTTCGTGACTCCCCGGTGAGAACGACCCCGTAGACGCCAAGGAGAGCACGGTGACTAGGAGTCGTGTGTGCAAGCGCCCCAAGTGACCGCTTTCCAGTCCACTGCCCTCAACTGGGCGCAGTTAGAAAGGCTGGGCTGCGTGTGTCATAGGCTCCATAAAGCTACGGGCTCGTGGAGATTCTCTTTGAGTGCATGGCAGGAGTTTGGGGTTTCGGAAGAAAAGCCAAGGTGCCTACTCCCTGTTGCCGAGAGGTGCAAAATGGCAGGGGTGCATGGCTCAGTGACACTTGGGAAGCTCATAAGTGGCTTTGCTACAGTCCCCCGGAGTGTTTCCCTTAGCGTGGCCCAGGGCATGAGCAGTTCTTGCAGCCTCCGATAGCAAAGAGCCGTGTGGAGAAGACAGCCTCACACAAGAAGCTTCCACTTCTGAAGCTCATTTAATAGATTTGTTAAAACCCCTTTAAAATTCTGCCCCGTCCCTTTCCCCTTGGGAATGGGCTTAGGCTCCTAATGCCCTTAGGGACTGGGGAAAATGTCACCATGTACATGTCAGCATAAAGCTGGCCTCCACCCAGGGTTGCTTTGGAGCATGTATTCGGTGCACCCAAAGGGAGAAGTCCTGACCTTGAATCCACAGTATCTCTTTGCTTTCTCATTTCTCTTCATCTCAGGAATATTTCATCACCAGAACGGTGAAATAACGTACTAAATTATGCACTTCTGCAAATGAAACCATCCATCTCGGAGGAGCTGGGTCCCTTCCATCGCGGCCTTTGGACCGAGGCCTCCACATCGACCCCTCTGGAACATCCCAGCCTGCGATTGCAATGCACCACGTCCTCCCTCCACCTGTCTCCAAATGGCTGATGGTTAAAAAAGTTATTTCCAATGTTGTGCTAAGGCCTTTTTTTTTTTTTTTTTTAAAGCTAAAATCATCATTCTGTTAATTAACCTATTAATGTAATTATCTCTTTTTATAATTAGGTCTTCTGAGTCCTCTTCAAGATAGAGGGTATTACAAGGAGAAGATTCATAGCCTGGGAATTTGGAGAGAGCAAAACTAACCACACGATGCACTTCTGCACCGTGCTGTGAGTCCAGCCCCTTCCCCTAGCCTCAGGGAAGGGTTGAGGGCATTTTCTATGTGAGTCAGGATTGTACGTGCTCAGGAGTGCCAGACAAACTCAGGGAACCAACAGGCAGACGAGGAGCAGCAGCGTGATGGAGAAGCCCACAGGGTTTGAAGCAGATACACCGACCCCTCAAAGCACCCAAAACCGGTACCGGGCATGTGGGGGTGCACAAGTCAGGTCATGGCAGGAGAATAGTACAGGTGATTTCCAGGTGCTGCTGTTGTGGGCAGAGTGGGAGGGGTGCGGAGAAGAGGAGGCTGAAGGCAAGGCACTGAAATACCAGCCCAGCAAGGCAGAGCATGTGAATCGCAAGACACAACACTGCTTTGCACTGGCTTAACTCTTCCCATCTGCAGACCCCGAGCTTTGATCAGGGTGGAAGTGGACAATCTGAGACCTGCTGGGCCAAACGGTGCCCTGGGGCGAGCATGAAGGCAGAGGCTGCATGGAAGATTGCATTAAGACTGTCGCCCCTTTAGGCCAGGGCTTGAAGCCAGCCTGGTAACTACAGCTGGGCTGCTCCTCCTCAGAGCTGGGAATCGTTAACATGCAGGATTTTACCAGCTGTCCCCTCCAGAAGAGAGCTTATAACTAATTGCCGGGTATCTCCAAACTTCCCATGTGTGCATGCGTGCCATCCGGGGCAGGGTTCCTGTCCTGCCCACATGTTGGAAGCTCCCCATGCTTTTTGCAGGTAACAGCAAAGGGGAACATTTTCATCGGGGCTTGGCCATCTCCACGGTCCCCCCGACACATCGTGGCAGTAACAGCCAGCACCGAGATGCAGCGGCAGGGCCCTCCAGGATGCTGATGCTCTCCCGTGGCTGGAGAAAGGGGGGGATGGTGCCCTCTAGTGAACTAATGAGAGTAGGAGGCACAAAAACGTCCACAGAAGCT